TCTACAACTAAAAACATTTTTTTTAAAAAAATAAATAAATTGGAGACCCTGGAAGATGTTGCTGAGGAGGATCATACTTAATTATTGACTCATAAAGAATTACATTAAAGGTTAGAATGTGGATTGCTACACGTATTTATAAATGTCAAGAAAGTTCAGTAGTTCTCTTCTCAAGAAGGTGGGACTTCTGGTTCAAATAGCTGGCTGCACTAGGTGTTCCTTCTCTTTTAAATATATATTTTAGTTGTTGATGGACCTTCATTTTATTCATTTATTTATATGTGGTGCTGAGAATCAAACCCAGTGCCTTACACATGTGAGGCAAGCGCTCTACCAATGAGCCACAACCCTAGCCTCAGTGTTTCTTCTTGATACTCTCTCATTGTAACCTGTGCTTAGCTTTGTCATTGTGCCTAAACATTCCACTGAAATTACTAAACTTTGAGACAATGTTTCCACTAATCTGTGAATTTTTTTAACAAAGAATTTTATTCATTGAGTTCTGTATTCTCTGCACCTAGCACAGAGACTGCCATGGAACTAGAACTCTAAAAACTGAACTTTCATCTACCTAATTGCTCATCTTCTATTGGCTGCACATTTTAACTATATAGATTAGAATCTTGGTTTATGTTTATTGTTCATCACTGTAATATTTTATGAGAACTATTATTTCATTTCCATATGATTAAATGCCTAGAATAGGGCACTGTTATGGCTTTCCAAAGTTTTTATCCAGTAAATAAAGGCCTCTAAAATTTATCATGTGTAAAATATGTATTTTGTCCCTTCAGAGACGTTCTTATGTGACTATTTAACTATAAAGGCATTAAACAATTATACAAAGAAATGAACATGTCATGATTGTCTTTTAAGAGACATTATTAGGCTAAGATAATTGAGGGAATAATTGGGAGAATATAATTCTACAAAAAAATAGTAATTTCTATCATAAAACAATCTATGGAACAGGCAGAGATAGGTGCTATTTTGGGGAAAGAATAGAAAGATGACCAGATGTTTGTTTTGCTCTCAATGTACTTAGAACCCATCGGAAGACAGCTTTGTAATTATAGTTGTTTTTACTACAATTCTATAAGTAAAATAACTGAGGCTCAGAGAGGTTTTGTGACTTGCATTGGATGGCACAATGAATAACCCATGAGAATTTTTTTGTCTTCTAACTCAGCTCCCCAGTTCTATTTCACCATTGTGTCTATTCAGTGTGATAAAYGTATGGTGCAATGCTGGGTGAGGCTGATTGTTACAGGGAGAAGAACTATTTTTATGGTAGAGGTCTGGAAAGGCTTCACTGAGGAAAAGTCATTTAAACAGGCCTGTGGAAAATGAAAAGGAGAGTTTAGGTGGAGGAAGAGGCAGCACAATGCAGGCAAAGAGTGGATGAAAAGCACAGAAAGATGAAAATAAATACAGGACTCCCTGTAATGGGGAGCGGAGGAGTCCAGAGTGGAGGTAAAATATTTTTAATGCCATCTTGCCTGCAGTTGTACAGCCCACGAAAGCAGGGAATTAAAAGTCATACAGATCTAGGTTTCCAAAAGAAATTAGAGTGGCAGATTGGTGCATGAATTGGAGCATGAAGAAAGGAGTTTGGAGTTTTTTGCAATCATGCAACTGAGATAAGTGTCTGAATGAGGACAGTGAAAATGGGAAGTACCTATTAAAAGAAGTGTGTGTCCTTTAGAATCACTTACTGACATTAGGAGCTGGAAGAGAGGGAGAAGAAGATTCTTTTGAAAAACTTCTAGAGTATATGACTTGGTAGATGATGATTACCAAACTGGGGAATACAAAAAAAAAAAAAAAAAGCGGAAATGGCAGTTTGTAGTTTTCTTATAGTTAAGTTAAAGCATTTGCCACTAGTCCTGTTTGGTTTGAGATGCCTGTTTGTAAGACACCTGTTGACAAGTGAAGTGGGTAGCTGAAAATGGGGATCTAAACGTTGAAAGTAAGGTCAAGGCTGGAAATCTAGATTTTGGAGTTATCTAAACAAAAGTTGAGGAATAGGTGTACCTCAGTGGTAGAGTATTTTCCCAGCATGTGCAAGAGTAAGGGTTTGATCCCCAATAATACCACATACACAAATAGTCCTTCTCCCTGTAACAATCAGCCTCACTCAGCCTTGCTAGGTATGCCAGTTATCGGCATTTGGGGAGTTCTCCATTCAAAATATTTCCTCCTGAAACAACCCACACCTATCCTTGGCCTACCCTTCCTCAGCTCCTGCCTCCCAACCCAGAACCACATGGATTGACTTCCCCATTTGGAGTRGCTGAGACAATAAAAGTACTTGAAGAATATGACTCATCTCCGAACAAAAAATCTCCCTTACTGATTGATTTTAGGCTTATGGCCAATTTGGCCTCCTTCTTTGGCACCATTCCCTCAGAATCACTTCCGAATTATCCTTCCAGTACTCAGTTTAAGATCTACTTTATTCAAGAAACCATTTTTATCTGATAGAAAGAGGTGAAATCTGAATATAAATTCAGCTACCAGTATGGAAAAATCCAGTATGAGTATACAATCGCCAAATTTCTGCATTTATGTTGAACTCTTGAGTTCTGTCATTTACTGCCTTTGTAACTTTGAAGAAAATGGGGATTATAAAGCCTCCCTTGCAGAGTGGTGTGGATTAAATCAGATAAAATAGGTGAAAATGCCAACTATGGCACTGGGTAGGTGTTCAGTAAGTGGCAGGCTTCTTGTCAAACCTGACTATGCTTTTTGAATTATGTAGTCTACATGATAAGCTTCTTGAAAGTAAAAGCACTCCTTGTGTTTTATACTCTCACCCTAACTGAGTGCCCTTTAATGTCAGGAGACATTGTAGAATGATGTTTAGGAAGTGAGGAGGTCAAGGATAAAGTTGAAAAAAGTTTATGCAATAGGTATGTAGATGAGAAAAGGCTGTTAATTTGATTCAAAAGTGGTGGCAAAGGTCTTTCTTTACATTTCCTCTAACAATTTACTTAAAATTTTATCTTGCCAAAAAGAAGGGACAGAAGGTCTCATCTTGATGAATGTGGAGCTGTAAAACTATGTGCCAATACACCTGGTATTGATTCATGCCAGCTGGGAGAGGAGCTTGGCTTCTCAGTGTTTTACTACTGTGGTTTCCTGGGCTGGGCAGCTGGGTGCCTAATAATGAGAAAAACCATAATACTTCATAATTATGCACTGCCCTTTGCCAGAACTAGGATTTAATTACAATGACTATGACGGAACTGGCAACATCCCGTTCCCTGTTGGGGTGCAATACCCAAGGGCCTGGAAATACAAAGTGAAGTAGCAACTGCAACCTTCCCCTGCAGGGCCTATCCTGGCAATTCACCCAGACTTCTCTGGGTTTGAGGCCCATCATCTGAAACAGAATACTTATAAATTGCCCCATGTACTCGACACTCTCAAGTAAACTAGTATTTATGAAGTAACTACTGCAATACATGATGAATAGCATTGTGGAATCTCAGGTCTGGAAGGTACCAAAACAGGTGACCTCATTCATAATCCTGTCCCCTGCCTCCAGGTATCATTCCTATTCCATCAAATTGGTGAGTTTCAGATCTTCCCATTCTGATACAGGCTGGAGTTGTTTTTATGGTATCCTGATTCAGGTGTCAGGGGACTCACTGATTCATTTAATACTCATCTTTGAGCACTGCAGGGGCACAAAGATATATAAGGTATGATCTCTGATCTCAAATAGCTTATCGTCTATTTGGGAGATTTGCTATTTAGGCAGCTATAACATAAACAACATAAAGACCAGAAAGTCCTTTTAGATGAAAGGGAATGAAATCAAGACTCCAGATGAAAAGATCAGGACCAAGGATCCTGAAAATAAGAAAGAATGAGAAGAGGGGCAGGGAAACTGCAGTGAAGAGCTGGGCAACGGACTCTGAGGTTCTGATAGATGTCCCTATTTTATTGTCTTCGTAACACTTATCAACCTTGATTTGTTTTTTTTAGTTATTAATTTATTCATATACCATTTGTCTCACCCTTTTCAGTAACACTGTCAGTTTTGTTTACCAATATATCCTGAGCATCTCAAACAATGCCTGGCACATTTTAAGTAAATATTGGCCGAATGAATAAATGGCAATGGAAATGGACAGGAGAGTGCATTTGAAATGCATTCTGCTGTCATATACAACTAAGTAGAACAAATGAAAATAAAATAAACAAAAAGAAAGTGAGAAAGGGTAGTATATGTTGATCTGCTTTCCACCACTGTAATACCTGAGATGATCAATTAATGAAGAAAAAAATGCTTAGGGTTTTGGGAGATTTCAGTTCATGATAGGATGGACCTATTGCTTTTAGGCCTCTAGTAGGGGATGAAGACGCCACATTATGGTGGGACTGTGTGGTGGAGCAAGCGTGCTCACACCCTGACCAGGAAGAGAAAGAGAAGAAACAGGGTTCCACAATCTCCTATGAGGGCAAAATTTCAATGAATGAAAACTTCCTATTAGGCTGCACCTCTTAAAGGTTCTACCACCTCTGGATAGTGCCAAGCTGGAGACCAAGTTTTAACATACTGGACTTCGGGGGCACTCCAGATCAATCTACAAGTAGAGATATTTTGAAGTAGTGAGGAAGTGGATGGTGGATTACCCCTGGTTCTAGACTTGGGAAAGTGAGTGGACAGCGATATTGTCAAAGAAGAAAAGGAATAGAGGAGCACATTTTGTGTACTTCAGAAAGCATAGGAGGTCCAATTTGGACATGGTGTTGGTAGGCAAGTGGACTGTCCAAAAGGCACATATGCAGATCTGGATCTCACTAAATGTACGTACATTCAGCTTTTGCAAGCAGGAGATTGGTTAGATTACCTAATGTGCAGTAGTAGGACTGTGAGCCACCTAAAACTGAAGATCAGAACCTGGGCTTTTAAGGATTGAAGAGACTGAGAAAAATTACCTGAAGAGAAAGACACATAGGTTAAGGGGTCTGAGGGGAAAGATAAAAACCTTCAAGAAGGATGCAGTTCACMGAATCCACTGAAAGAGATAAAGTCTAAATTGTGAGCCTTGCACTCCACCATATGATGTCACTGGGGTAGCCTTAGCAGGAGCACTCTCCGGTGGACTAGTAGGTAGAATAATTCAGACTTCTTGAAGCACAAACTGAAATAAAGAATGAGAATTTGACAAGGTGTCAGAGGCAAGTTTTTTTAGTTTACTATTTTTAGTTTGGAGACTTTGGAATGCAACCATGGATGTGTAACACTTAAGAAGTGGCCAGTGACTCTGTGAATGACGATCAGGTTTCTAAAAGGCCAGATGGAGAGTCCCGTGGGCGTTACAATTCCTCAACTGCGCTTCTCTTCCTCTACCCTTTCAGCCATTTCTAGGGCGGGGGCCTTCCACATAAAGTACAAGCAAAAAGAGGGAGACAGAACACCCCTCCCACCGATTTGTGAGTCATCTTTGTGATGGCTGAGAGAGGGAATGGGAATACTTCAATTAAATGAGGTGCCCGGTTTCCCGTGGATCTTGAAATTTTGTGACTGAGTGGCTCCATGCTGGAGGGAGCTAGGGAGACTCATTCACATTTTCCTACCGGGCACTCACACCCTCCATTCAGTATTTTCCTCTCCTCCCTCACGACAGTTAAATGCTGGGACAAAGACTTCCCCCAGCTCCTACCTCAGGTTGACCTTCCAGCCCCAAACCCACCACCAGTCCTTCTGCATCCACGTGACTCTCAGCCCTGATGACTCTTTGCCACCCACCCCTCCCCTCTGGCAGCAGCCCGCTTTACCCCGCCCCTCAATCCACGTGACCGCTTCCCTCTCACCTGACTGGCTCCTTCCTTTCCCTGGCCGGACCCGGCCTCCGTCGCAGCTGCCCGACTCCAAAATGGAGGCCGCGCACAGCGCGCACCCGAGCGGCCGGACCTCCCAGGCTCCCGGGCCGCCCCCTTCTCGTTCTCTGCCTCCCTCCTCCGGCCTTCACCTACACGCCTCCGGATTGGCCGCTGGGAATCCCGCCCCACCAAAGCCCCGCCTGCTATTGGTCACGGTAGGCTGCCCTTCAGAGAGGCGTGCCCCCGCCCGCCCCCAGCCCCGGGAGGTATTTTCCATTCCGGTGGGGGTTGGGGGAATGGGGGAGGGGAAAAGAGGGAAGAGGGGGAGGTGGCCGGGGAAGGGGGTGGGGGCCAGGCGGGGGCATCCGGCCGAGCTGGGGTCTCCGGGCTCCGTCCGGAGGAAGCGAGGCTGCGCTGGCTGGGCAGTCGGAGGGGACGGGACGCACCGGCGGGCGAGCGGACTCGCCCTCTTGATGACTGAGCCGTCCGGGCCCGTCCTGCCTGGCCGCAGGTGCCCTGGATGAGGCCGACCCGTGCGTCCCGGCCGGTGAGTGTCCCCGCGGTAGTCCAGCCGGCCGCCTGCCCCCGGCCCCTGCGCTGCCGTTAGTGGCCACCTCTCCTTGCCCCAGTGCCCGCGCCCGGCGCAGTCCGCCTCCGGCCGGCGCCTCCGCACCCTGCGGAGGTGGCACGGGCCCTGGGGCCGGGATGGGCCGGCCGGGAAGAGGACCGCAAGCCCGGGCCGTGAGCCGATGCAAACCGCGCGGCGCCTAGTAGGAGCTTGCGCGTAGTAGGCTCTCAATGCATTTCTGAAGAATTCCTTTTCGGTTTGGAGGAAGGTAGGGTACCTAAGGGAAAGGGGGTCGTCCCGGGTATTAGGAGAGTGTTCGTGATTCGGGTCGGGGGGAGGCCACCGAGTGGGGGCTCAAGGGAAGGGGGCACCGGTCAAGTCATTTTGGGCTCTACTGCTTCGATCTGGGGAGTCCTCAAGGTCGAAGAGGAAAGGTCCGCTGGGAGAAGAAGGAGGGAACCAGCGAGTGTGGATGGGAGAAGTGACTGGAGCATCTCTGGCGGTTTAACCTGAGGTGGTTAGGTTAGGAAAGGATGCGGAGGCGGGCGCAGGGAAGACCCCGGTGCAGCAATTTGGGCTCTTAAGATTCTTTGGTGCTGGGATTTRGGTATCCGAGTAGCCAAAGCAGAATGACTTTGTGGACAGGGAGTTGCGTTTAAAGGATGCTGTGAAACAGTGTAAGTACATCTTTGGTTCTGAACTTTCAAAGGTTTGGGGGATCAAAATCACGAGTAGGTTTTGACATTTTCTTTTGGCATTTCAACCCCATAGGTGGCTTGTCGCTGGACTTGGTCAGTGATCCTTTATATTAAATTATCTGTATATATTTGATGGTATTTTGTCAGTTACTAGTTTTGCTGGACATTCTTATAACTACACCTTAAAATTCTTGTAGCAGACACTCTATACTAGTGACTTACTTCCCTATTTAGTGTTTAGTCTGAACTGTACTATTATAATTTGCCACTAACTTCTATTCTAGAAGTTTAATTCATGCTTTTTCTTTTGTTTCTTTACAAGGTCATGCAAAATTAAAATATTTTAAAACTTCTATGAAATATATAGTTTAAGTGTTGAATTGGGAAGATACTGGTAAGCTAACAGCTTACCAAGAAATTAACTTGAGTTCTGACAGTTGGGACTCTTATGTCAAATGCATAATTTTAATTTTAAAAATCTTACATTTACATAACACTTTTGAGAATGGACTGGGAACAGAGGCAAGGATTACCAAGATTAGGCAGTGGCTGTTCACAGAGTCTACCTTTGTGGCAGTCCAAGAAGATTCTAAGTTTCACTGAAAAGAGTAAGCTAATAACTACACTTCTAGATCTTTAATTTTTTTTTCTTTCTTTCTTCTAATTTTTGTGTGTATTTGTGTGTGTACTGAGGATTGAAACCAGGGTCACTTTACCACTGAGCCACATCCCCAGCCCTTTTTATTTTTTATTTTGCTGGGCCTGGCAAAGTTGCCCAGGCGAGCCTCCCACTTGGGATCCTCCTGCCACAGCCTCTCAGGTTGCTGGGATTACAGCAATCACCATTTGCACCTGGGTTTAATTTTTTATTCTCTTAATCATGAATATTACTAATTCCTTATATTTGTTGCATACTMTACAGTTTACAAAATGAAAGCTCATTGATTAGGGAGTACTTAAACATAATTTTGAAAAATTTCTAGATCATACTTTGCCCTTTAATTCATCAGAAAAAACATTTCTGCAATAAGGTGCTGTAATGTTTTTGGTTGGCTTTCTAGTTCCTGAATAACTAATGAATAGTCATGTATTTTTTTTTTATCCCTRTTGTCCTTGAATTTTACTATTTGTTCTTAGGGAGAATGTACTGGCATACAAAACARTAGCCTAAAATATTGAAACCTAACACCTTTTAACGTTATGTCTCCTCCATTATTCACCTTGAGAATTATCTGTGGCAAACCAGTTGTTGGGAAGACTCTTTTCTCACCTTGATTAAATTGGTCTGTTTTCTCCTGTTGTAGAACTAAGAATAATAATGCTTACTGGCTATGAAGTAATGATAATAACTAAAAAGAATGAGAATACAAAACTTGGAAAAGATGTATGTGAATGAGTCATTTTTTTTAGAGTTGGAAGAGTAGGCCATGGAGATGATTGTTTTGCAGATCAGGAAAGTAAGGCCCAGAACAGTTGAAGGGACTAAATTGCTAGYTAAGTGCTGGAGCCAGGATTAGTGGGCAGAGTTTCTGGACTCCAGGCAAGAGTTTTTTCTGCTTTATCACATTCACACTGTTTATTTCTAAAGTATTCTAGTGCCAACTGTAAATAGTTTTTGGATTATTTGTGATGATGTTCTCTTCTAATGATGGAGAAATTTGGTAGAATGCTGTCTTTGTGAAATGATGTAAAGTTGGATGAGCTTTTTATTCTGAATTTTAAAACAGTTTGCTGCGTTGTTGGTGGGAATGCTGACAGTTTTCTCATTGGAAAGAGATAAACTATCATGTAGATTAAAATACTAGATGAACATCTCAGAGTAGTCTAGCAGTGTAAAATTTTTATGCTAAAACTAATTGCTTAAAATTTTAGAATTCAAAGGCTTTCATATTTTTAAAGTGAATTATATGAAAATTATTATTTGTAGTAAGTGTGGGGTTTTGTTATGTTAAATTTATACTGTTCTCCCTTACTGGAGAACAGTAGTAGAATTATAGATAGTTATGGAAGCATAATTTTTATCATATTTATTATAGAGAAAGGATTTGTTTCTCAGCCACTTAACATGACTCTCAGACAAGTGAGTTAACTACTGTGTGCCTAGGTTTCCTCATATGTAAGTGTGGTTATTGAAAGTACCTGCCTCATAGYATAGTAGTGAAGATTAATTATACCTAGCAATAGTAAGGGCACAGTAAATACTAGACATTACTTTCTGTGGTTCATTAGGTATAAGTAGGCATTGTATGTTCATTTGTTTCCTTGGTGTTATCTCAGTCACTTTCAGGCTACAAAAAAATTCCCATGTAAATACATGGTCAATAATTGTCTGCCTTAAGGGGCACTTAGTGCAAATGATGTTCTCTTGGTTTTTTGTTATTGTCCTTCTCCTTCCTCTGCTTACCTTGAACCTTAATTAGAGCTGCATATCAAGTTAGAGTTAATGTGTCTTTTTTTTTTTTTTTGAATGCTGTGTGAGATTAAAATATGCCACCAAAGTGTGCTTCTTTGGCATATTTCCAGATGGCTATTCGGAGTGGCTAGAGACACAAGAATAGCTCTGAAAAGCTGTCCCTTTGTGGGGGAGAGTTGCATCTGTAGAGGAAACCCACATTAGTGAAATAAACAGCTCTGCAAACAGGCTTTCTGTAAGGCTTTATTATCTGGGTTTAGGAAAGATCATAAGACTCCCCACTTCCCTCTAAGACCCCAGTGTTCCCACAGAATGTTACATATTATTTTGAGGCTCTTACCTGAGATACTTTATGAGTATGGGGCAACATCTTTGTTCCCAGTGCATTTCTTCTCTTTACCCTGAGATAACCTGTTGTTATTATTGCCCCTTCTTTTTTGACATCCCCCAGGCTCCCAGGCTCCTGTTCCTTTCTGCTGAGAATACTATTTGAATTTCAACCATCAGGCTCCTTTTAAAAATGTTTGTGGTGCTAGGGWTTGAATCCAGGGCCTGTGCATGAAAGCCAAGTGCTCTACCATTAAGCTATACCCCCAGCTCAGGCCCTTTTTTGAGTGTCATGTTTTGTATGGTGCCCTAATAATTATATTATTGTACATAAATAATTTTGTATGCCATTTCTCATAATGCCAATCTATTATCAGTTTATTTTATAGACTTAAATATCAAACTGTGGAAGGGGGAATGTCATTCTTTTCTACAATGTCATTGGGAGACCTTGCTGCATTTTCATTAATCTAGAGTGAAAATGTTAGTTGTTGATTTGCAGGTGTTCTAGTTAAAATGCAGTCAGTTTTAGAGGCCTGCTAGGTAAGCTTAAGTAAGGAAGTCAGGAATTTATAAGGTCTGTTAGTGAGTGATTGCACCTTTTCTGCCAGTGGAACCATGAAAAAAAAAATCATTGAATCTTGTTTTAAGTGAATGTTTTGATTGCTTTAGTCATTAAATTGTTAGGTTTAAATGATACAATTTGTGTAATTCCAGTTTTATAACATAGTTCTTTTTACTTTGATGTAACCCAAGTCCAACTAATGTGAAGAACCTTGTGGTTTAGCAGATGTTTCTGATGGTGACAGTTGGAGTCATTAGCTATCTCAGAATTCTTTAATTGTGTGTCACCTAAGATGGTGGATTTCTTCAGTTCTACCTTCTCAGTTTCTTCTATTGCTATTATAGCACTCTTCTTCCATTTGTGGTCCTCTTCAATTTTCATTCATTTTTGCAGCTTTTTCCTTCTGATAACATCTTTGCCTCCTGTCTCAACATGTATCTTATTATCTGTTACACACATGCTTAATTTTTAATGGCTTTTTGAACATTAATTTCTGCTAATTTTTAAA